TGTGTCTAGCACCGCTCTCTTGCAGAGACTCCTTCGAACGACAGAGGCGGGGTGGGTGGGGTGCAGGGCAGAAGCGACCTCGGGCTGGGGACGTCTTCCCTAACCTTTCTCCACCTCTTTCCCCTCGTCCGCCACCTGCCGGGGACCCCGGGTCCGTCAGCGCTGCGCTTCGTGCACTGGCTGCCCTCCGGTGGCAGAGAGCAGGCAGCGCAGAGGGAAGAGCGGTAGGTGGGCCTCGCAGCCCACTCCCCCAGACACCTCCACACCGTCTGGATCTCATCCCCTCCTGTTCCACCTCCGCACAAATCGATGCAGGGGACTGGCCTAGAGATGGGCTGGCTTTGGGAGACGATGAGGGACATGCAAGGGCAGAGGGAAGCGGTGAGGGAGTGGGAGAGAGTAAGGCAGAATGGCATCTAAGGTAGCACTGCTCATGTAGAGGAGGAGCTGGGAAGGCCATCTGAGGATGGACAGACCCCCACGAATAACAGTACCACCGCCACCTAATGTTGGCCGAGTCCCTGGAAGGTGGCAGCCACCACAATGCCCTTTTTCATCCCATCTCATCTCATCTCATCACACCGTGAAGTACTACTATTGCTCTCATTTTATAGATGAGGAAACTGAGCTTTTTTTGGGTGGGGGGTGTTAAATAATTTGCCCAAGGTCATAAGATGGTGAGTGGCTGAACTGGGATTTGAATCTAAACCTGAGCAGCCCGACTCCAAAACTCCGTACTTAACTGCTGTGCCCTACTGCCAAAGGCCTGTCTGTAGCTTTTCTGCAGTCCTCGGTCCCCTGCAGAATCTGACACTAGTGATGCAGCCGCCACACTCTCTTGGCTTCTCCAACTCTATAAGAAGCCAGGCCCAACCCTGCCCCCTCCAGTGGCGTCTCCATTTCTTTTCCTGGGACCTCCTCCAGTTCTCAGGCCTCATTCTGCTGATTCCCCAAGAGGGAAGCCTCGGCCATCCTACCTGTCTCTCTCTGCACCTCTCTTAGATAAAAATAATAGGCAATGCCATCGTCACAGCAGGTCACACTGACTGCACATTGACTTTGTGCCAGGCCTTATTGGTTGATGTGCTCAGCAACTAAGAGAAAGGTTGCAGGTTCAAGTTCGCCTAGAGGCAACTTTGTAAGAAAGGCCTGGCGATCTGCTTCTCAAAGGTCACAGCTGTGAAAACCGTATGAACTGCAATTCTACCCTCACACATATGGGGTCCACTCATGTCAACTGCCATGGAAACTGCATGATGATATCATATAACGTGCTTCTTGCAATGACCCTGGTACCCTTGCTATTCAGTTTTACAATGGAGGACCTGGGGGTGGAGAGTGGTTCAGTAACTTGCCTAAGGTTACACAGCTGCTATGTTTGGACCATCAGGGCAAACCCTGGCAGTCAGATGCCTTAAAGACCGCATTTTCTGAACCTGTCTGTGCTCATGGCTTTAAATAACTGGTGCCCCCCCCCACCCCAGGCCGTGGAGCCATGGCATGGGATGGAGTCAGAGACCCTGGATTGTGCATGTGAACTGACCAAGTCGACTTGTGACCTTGAACCAATCACACATCACAAATCACAACTCACTAACTCTCCTGGGCCTGTGTCTGCTCAAGGTCATAAGGCTGCTGCTAAGTGGTTCACGATGATGGGTTGTTGTTGAGGGTAAGTATGACTTCGGGGAGAGAGGAGGTGGGGTGGGGCCTTATGCTCTGGGAACACCCCATCAATTGCATTTTCTCAAATGTTCTTTTCTAGCCCTTGCTCGTGTTCTGTGCCCCAGTCTGGAATGTTCCACTTCTCTAAGACCCTCATTACAATCTGACTAAATTCTTCAGAGCCTAGTTCATATGCTACTGGCTTCAGGTTCTTTCACTCCGGTTGGCCCCTGAAGCCCTACCACCTCCTGAAAGTATTTCTTGACACCACCTGGGACTCCCCCCCTCACCCCCTCCCGACCAAGTGCCTCTGACATGGCTTTTCTCCTGCTATAGAACAACTGTTAGCACATTGTCTTACCTCCTAACCTGTGAGCCCCCAAGGACACAAGCCTGGCACCTAGTAAACCAAGACCAATTCTGGACTCATGCCGACCCTGGATGTGTAGAGCGAACTATTCCACGGCGTTGTCAAGGTTTTGACTTTTTAGAAGTACATTTCCAAGACCTACATCTTTCAAGATGCCTCGTGGCAACCTTCAGGTTAGTGGCTGCGGGGAGATGGTCTGCGGCCCTCAGGGTCCTTCGTCTGCAAAATGAGGATAATCACAATAGCTACCCTGTAGGGTTGCTATAAAAATTGAGATCTCAAAACACCTTATAAACTGCAAAGTGCGACACAAATGTTGGTTTGGGCTCTTCGAGAGGAGTTGGGGGAAACAGCTTCGGTTTAAAGAGAACCTTCTTTGGAGTCAAACTCTATGTGGATTGGAATCTTAGCTTTGGCATATACAGTGTCAACTGACACATAGTACTAAACTCTCTGAGCTCCCTTTCTGTCTTTCCATTTGTGTGGCCAGATTTTATGCCAACTTGATGGTACCTGTGTGGAGGTAGAGGTGGAGTTCCACCTGGCAATCAGGTGGTAGCCTGGAGATACCTCCTTGGAAGTGTGGCCTTGTAAGCGAGACAAGGAGAACTTCTTTCTCTCTGGCCCTTGGCCTTCCTCCTCGCTGGGACCCCATGTCGGCCACCAGAGGTGGCCCCGTGTGGGCTGCCAACCCGGAGAGCTGCCGGCACCCCCCTGCCAACCTGGGATCCACAGGACTCTGCACCCACCAGCCTGTGATCTCCCTGCTTCCTTCCCACTTCACCTTTCTGTGTCATCGGCCTGCAGCCACGTGAGTCCACGGAGGGTCCCGGCTAGCACTGGACCCCTGGACTTGAGGTGGACTGGGCTGGGGTGCCTTCTTGACATAAGATCACTTCTTGATAGAAAGCTCTTTCTTTTACAGAGATGAGTGTCCCTGGTTTTGTTTCTCTAGACAACCCAGCCCAACATGATTTGTCAAACCGAACTGCTAATGTCTACCTTGGGTTTGGGTTCTTGGTCCACTTTGCTTGGTTGTTGAGAAGACTCCGTGGGACTGTGTATTGAAACATCTACTGCAGTGCTTGGCTCACAGTCAATGTGTAATAGATGTTTGTGGCGGAATATGGGTCTGATGGTAGATCAGGTGAGTTGAATAATGCTAACTTGCCCAAACCTTTAGCTGCAGGCACTACTTTGGCTCAGTGGCCTACTGGCCTACCAGCTAGTCACATCCTAGAGTGGTGAGCTCAATACCTGCATCGCAGCTAACTTCCTCCTCCAAACCACTGACTGCCAGCAGGGGGTCTTCTTCCCACTCAGAGAGGTCAGACCCTGGAGTAACCCTGAACTCATCCTCCCTTCTCTTCTCCCACCCCACCTGGTGGGGGGAGGGGGGCGCGCGCAACATGGCCGACCGATCTGTTTTTTATCGGACGTCTCTCGCAGTCTTCTCTGCCTTTACGCTCACAGTGCAGGCCTGCGTCACGTGTCTGGGACAGCCTCCTAACTGGCGTCCTCTTCAGCCTTGCTCCCTGTGACACTGTGCCCTTTAAGAACCCGCCCTGCTCAAGAACAGACCATGGCTCTCTGTTTCATCGATAGTATAGTTACTTTAAGGTGACCAGATTTTAACATTGGTAAAGCAGGACACCCTTGATAAAACTCATATCCTGGCGAAATAGCCACATGGCAGCCGAAAACCGTATACCCTAGCTTGTCGTGCATTCTTTCCAAAAATCGGGACTTTTTTAAAAACGCCGCAGGACGCAGGGGAAAAAATTGTTAAAAATCGAGACTGTCCCGCCAAAAGCGGGACGTCTGGTCACCTTAGATACTATAGTACCACGATAGCATTGAATCCAGACAACTCTGCCAGCCTTCTAAGCCCCACTCCCGACACACACCTGTCCACCCAATTGTGGGTTACAGAGAGCTGGAACTTGCCAGTGGGCAGGCTTCTTCCTCTGCTGTCTGGATTTGGTACCGAACGTTCCCTGCCACCTCCCTCTGGTTACGACCATGCAACCGAGGCCTTATTAACTTCTCTGGCTGGGAGGGCGATTCGTTGGAGAGTAAAATGAGATGTTACATATAAAACCCTGAGCATCCATCGCGCCTGGCCCGGAGCAGCGATTAACAGTGTACCAGACAGGCATCGGGATTTGTGATTGACTCTACAAGGTCAAGGTCTGAGGGGAGATGGAGCCATCAAAAGAGATCAGGGATTCGATAGGAGAGGAGAAGAGGGGCACCCAGGGCCACAGGAGGGTGGGGACAGGCAGGCAGGCCGCTGCTGCTACTCACGGTGCTGTAGTTGCTGAAGAGGCCAAGGGTGGGGGCCGGCTCCAGTGGGAAGGGCAAAATCTGCTTGAGGTCCAGTGGAGGCTGCATGATGGGGGTCTGCCGAAGCAGAGGGAGGGGCCCTGCCCGGCTTAGGCTGCCTGGAAGGCAGAGAGAAGCATGCTGTGAGGCAGGAAGATAAAGGTTTGGGAGCCCCACCCCACCCTTGGCCGTGTGACCCCAGCGCATGCACACACGCACACAGACTTCCCCTGTGTGCTGGCTCCGGGGCGGTGGAGCAAGGTGCCCAGTGGGCCTGGGGGAGGGGGCAGACCCACGATCCCTTCTGGGTGGTTTTCAGTTCCCCTTCTCCAGCCTCCCGCCCCCAAGGCCTGGGACAGACTCAGGAAGAGTCTCAACCTTGTCTCCTGGCTACTGCTGATTCTGGGGTGGGGGCTGAGGGAGGGGGCTGGAGCCCAAAGCCTCATCCACCCCTTTCTTTGGGTTTTGCTTCACCTTGGGCGGGTGGGGGGGGGAGGGGGGCAAGTGTAGGTCTCAAAAGTGGCAAGTGGGTGCTTCATCCCACTGCCCAGAGTAGAAATGACAGGCCTAGATTTGCAGGTGGGAACTACTGAATCCTCAGGCTCCCCACACCTCTGGGGGCAGGTGAGGGGTGAGTGGCATCCACTCTGGGAGGCAGACTGCCTGGCCATCCTTAGAATCCCTTCTCCCAATTGTCTGGGTCTCCCACAGCCCGGCCCCTCCGCTCACAGCTCTGAGGGAGGAGGAACCTGGCTTCTGGGCGGAGAATGGCTGGGGCTGACCCCAAGGGGAAATGAAAGTCCGAACAGGCCCCGGCCCCTGCACTACCCTCTCTCAAACCTGCTTCTCCTACAAACCCCCCACCCTGAGCCACCAACCAAGTGCCAAGGGAGCAGCCCAAAGACCCTGTGGATGCCTCTGGCTTCCCTCCCACTCCCCTCCAACTCCCTTCTGTGACCCCAAGCTGCCCTTCTCTGCCCCAGCACCACCTGGCAGCCACCAGGGTCCTCAGGAGGCTGCTTGACTATTATCCTCCTTCAATCCTCTGGGGCACGGGGTCTCCAGAAGCTTTTCTGCCCACCCAACAAGCACTCCCCTTTTCATACCTTCAGTAGCTGGTGTCCACTGCCCCCAGGCAGTAGCCTGGCCCTGGCCCCTCAGGGGCCTGGGCCTGACAGTGTCCCCTTCCCTGGTTCTGCCCCCTGCCCCCTCCAGTACTAGCACCCAGCCCCCAACCCAGTCAGTGGAATCAGCCAATCAGAGTGCTAGAAAAGTGGGGCAGAGGGGAGGGCAGGGGAGCAGGGATTAGGGGAATCAGAGGCGAGAGGGAGGGGCCAGGGAGGGCTCAGGCACAGCTGGGGGCAGGGAGCTGGTCCAGGAAGGTTGGGGGGGGGGCGGTGTTTGAAGCAGAGATGGGTCTGAGCTATTGGGGGCTTGGACTCCCCACAGCTAAGGGCTGGAGAAAGAGTGAGTGAAGGCTGACTTTGACCCTTGGGCAGTTGGGGTTCTGGACCCCTGGTCCATTCCCTCCTCTTTACCCCTTACAGGGCTGGGATGGGGTGGGGCAGGGGAGAGACAGAGACAGGGACAGAGACAGGAAGAGGTGACTGAGAGAAAGGACAGAGACACTGAGGGAGAAGGACCGAGACTCAGGAAAGGGAGTGAAGTGGACCAGAGCTAGATAGTAGGGCAGAAAGCCCCCAGGACGGAAAACAGTGATAAGAAGGAAGGGAGAGAGGGACAGACAAACTGAGGAGGCCGGCTGACTGCCTCCCCTTCCTGGTGTGTCCCCTTATGGCTTCTCTCCACCCTCTTTGCCTGGCACACAAGGCCAGGGCAGCCTTAATGAGCCCCGGGCGGCATCAGGAATGGTGAGAGAAACTTGAGCAGTCCTCCTGTCCCCAGCACCCTGCTTCCACCCCCAGCAGCTGGCCTGGGGCTGGCACCACAGCCTGCCTTTGGGCACCAGAGACTGGGACTCCGCTCCTGGGCCCTTTCCCTGGCTCTAGCCTCTCTAGGCACCCACCCCTCAAACACCCCTCTTAGAGGAGGAAAACAATGAATGGAGGCGCCCACCCTGTGCAGGCAATGAATGAATGCCCACCGTTGCCACATCTGATCTCCGGGGTATCGCTGGCTATGAGGTAGCCGCGGTTCCATGAGGTAACTGATAGATGAGAAAAACGAGGCTCAGAGATGTTGAAAGGCTTGTCGTGATGTCACACAGCCTGTTTAAGTATCAGAACTGGGATTGAAATCAAGATCCTTGTCACTCTAAGGAAATTCTCTCTCCCCTCACATCACCCCAAAGGGCTCCAATCTAACTTTGAAGTAGAGGTTGGAACACAGCTTTCCAAATCTTTTTGGTGGGGCTGGGGTGAGGGAGGAGGGGCAGGGCCAGTTCCACACACTTCCTGGAGCAAGCGAGTCCTCATTTCCCCCCCAGGGAAGGGAAGGAGGGAGGGAGGCAGACAGCAGCAGCCACTCAGTTCCTTTAAGCCAGCAACTTGTCTTTCCACTGGGTGTGTGTGTGGGGGGGAGTAAAGGGAGAGGAGGGTGGGAAGTTGGAAAGATGTGGAAGTGGAGTAGGGGGTGTGCAGAAAGCGGGGGTGGGTGGAGGGGCAGCTGCAGACTTATTTGCCTGCTATCTGGATTCCTGGGTCCACCAGGTCCACGTTGAGGCTCCAGGTGGAGAGAGGCAAACACCCCCAGGTTTGTTGCTCTTCAGCAGTTGCCTCTGAGCCCATCCCGACTCATGGCTGTCCCGTGCTTCCATGCGCTTTCAGGATGGTGAGCTTTCAGGACCAGATGGCTAGGCCTGTCTGCCTGTCTTCCCAGGAGGTGCCTCTGGGTGGGCGGGTTCCAACCAGACCCCCTTCAGGTAGGGACCCCTGCTCATTGGCTGGGTGAGCAGAAATGGGGGTTTGGCTTCCTGTAATCCAGTCCTCTTTTTTTTTTTTTTTGAGAATGAAAATAGTCATCACTTTGGAGGGCTTGCTAGATGCTAACCGCTTTACATACATGATGTCCTTGTGAACAGTCCATTGTCCACTAGCTGGCTTCTCAGAGGCTTGCTCAGTCTCATCTGTCATACAAGAACAACCAGACCTGCTGCACAGTGTTGTTGAGAGGGTTGAGTGAAGGCAAGCCTGGCACACAACAATGAGGACTCAATACGTGTTTGTTGACTAAATGAATCCTCAAAGACAATGAGATTCGGCTCAGAGAAGGGGAGTAACTTGACCAAAGGGTCACACAGCTCAGGAGGGATTTGAAATTGTCTGGCTGGGCTGCTAACCCCGAGGTCAGCAGTTCGAAACCACCAGCTGCTCTACGGAAGAAAGATGAGGCTTTCTACGCCTCTAAAGAGTTACAGCCTCAGTGCCCACAGGGGCACTTCTACTCTGTCCTATAGGGTCCTTATGAGTTGAAATTGTCTCAGCGGCAGGCAGTGAGAACATGAGTCTGAGTCCTGAGATAGGGCTTTCAAGCAGAAAATTTTCCTAGGTAGACTGCAGAAAGGAGGGTCCAGGATCGGTAGCTATAGGAAAGCAGACCAGGGCCAGGGCATCCAGGACTCTGACATCTGGCTAGGTGAGGGCTTCAGGTAGGTTTGCAGAAGATGGTGGAGAAGAGCAAATGGGGTGTGTGTGCACACATGCAGGTGTGCACGCGTATGCGCATGTCCCTGCCACTTGGCGGGCGGGGCAAGGAGGTGCTGGAGCCAGGCTGGGGTAGGGCACTACAGAGGGAAGCTCATTAGAGTAATTACCTCCAGCAGCTACAACCCCACCCAGCTCCTTGGGGGGAATTGCCAACTGCTTTATTAAAGACAGAGAGCCTCCTGCTCTTTAGATGGGGGTGAACTCGTAACCCCTTGGCTGGCTGTCCATCGGTCCATTTCCATACCCTGCCTAGCTCTAGGCATTGTGACCCTACTCAGGCTCCCCCTCCAGTACTAAGACATAGCCATGCTACATCTGGCTCCCTCTAACCTACTGAGGTCTAGTCCCCCCTCTCAGTTCTCCCTTCCCCAGAAATTCTGGTCAGGTTTGAGCCCCGCCTTGACTGCCTTAGGGGAGGGGTCTGGGGCTGCAGGCGTCCAGGTAGCAAAGAATGGGAGTGTCTGTTGTCAGTTGGCTCTGGGCTGGACAGGTGTCAGGGTAGGGCTGTGGGTTAGCAGTGGTTTGGAGACTGGGCCAAGAGGTGATTAAGATGAGAGAGGTACTGGGGTTAAGGTTGCAAATAGTGTCAGGGCCTGAGGTGGTAAAAGGTGCAGGCTCAGGAGCACTGGGTTAAAATGGGGATAAGGATCTAGGGCCAAAGAAGAAACTGGAAGGGAGACGGGCACTGGAACCTCATCTTGAACTGACCTCTTTCCCCCTTTGGAACTTCCAGTCCCCC